AAACAGTCAAGAACGCAATGAACCCCCTGCTGGGGAACCTGCAGACTCAAATGATCTCATTGTGCTATAGCGAGGCCACTGTGCGTACTATTTGTTAATGTGTGTCTCCTTGCTTACATTTGCAATCCATTTACTGTTTCTGATTTTGCGGACATTGTGTGCTGGATAGAAGAAGTGCACCGTGCTGTCTGCCCAGAGGATGACAGTACTGCGCTTCGCATGAACATAGTCCTGTCTATGGCATACATGGAAGATGACTACAACTCCAACCCACTCCACAGAATTACATGTCAGACATGGATCTGAATATGCGTGTGTACATCTTGCATCATCAAGGTCATTTCAGTGCTCTTACCTCTGCGGATGATTCATGGACCCTATGGGACAATGGGGGTAGGGTGCACACGGTGGGAAATATTAACCCTTTCGATCACCAGGCGGTAGAATCTCATTCGGTCTAGGTGGTCAATCAGGAACAGTATGTGGATGTGTACTGTGGCATACTGCGTAGCCACACGGGCCCTGCAGGGCCCGTCCCGGATATTCAGCCTAAAAGCCTAAAACTTAGGGCTTACAGGCCCCGTTCATTTCAGCCTGAAAGCTGAAAAACGAGGGCCTGCAGGCCCTACCCCGTTTCAGCCTATTTCTGGGTCTTTTCAGACCCAGAGTTTTCAGCCTGAAACGGAGGGCCATTTTCAGGCCCTCATTGTTTCGACTGCCCCTAAGACTCAGACACGTAAACAGGGATGCGGAACAGGCCAGAAATAGCCTGTTCCTCACGAGTTCGAGCAGGAGCTGCAGCTGCAGCCCCTGCCTCCCTTCGGCAGGCTCAGGAGGCACACCCGGTAGTACATAGGAAGTTCCCATGCACTTCACGGGTAGGTAGTTCAGTAGGCACGAGGTAGTCTTCAGGAATTCGGCCGCAGCACTCAGGAGGAGCGCTGCAGTAGTCTTCAGCGCTAGGTGATATTAGCGCTAGCTGTAGTCTTCGGCGCTGGGCGCCATAGCTGTAGTCTTCGGCGCTGGGCGCCATAGCTGTAGTTGTAGTCTTCAGCGCTGGGCGCTGGTAGGTGGTATATCGTAGAGTGGGAGAGAGACTGGCGGAGGCCAGTGATACTTACCTGTGGCGCCATCGCTCCAGCTGCATCTTCGTGGTACCTGCATCAAGGCGCCAACTTCACAGGTTAGTACTGGACACAGAGAGAGAGAGAGAGAGTTCTTCTTCTTCCTCTTCTAAGTCCACCTTCTTTTCTCACCCTCTCGCCACCTGACTTCTCAGACTACGACAGAGAGAGACAGAGTTGTGACTTGAGACTTGACGACATTGGATCCAGACTTGACATTTGGGATTCAGACATTTCGACGAGGGACTATTTGGGCTTATGCCGAAGACTTGGTGTTGATGACATTCCCATCTTCCCCCTCCTCTTCGTCTATCCCCTTCCTCTTCGTCTGTGTATGGTATGGGCTGGCGCAGTCTTCCTGTGTGAAGCGCCAGGCCCCATTCACACTATGTAACGATGATGATGATGTGTGTTCAGGGCTGCATTGCAATATTGATTGTTCGGATCACTGGTATCTAAGTCTTCCGTCGTGCTATCTTATACTTCTTATTGAAAGGTCGGTTCTTGTTCTGGTCTGCACGTTAATCTCTTCAGCCTTTGGAAGGCAATCTGGCTGAACCTCCCCTGTCCCCTGTAATGGCCAAGCAGCGTCCCTTCCCTGTGTAGATCGGTCGGATTCTACCACAGACAGTGAAGGGGCCTCTCCAGAGGAGGTGGCTGTGCCATGCCATTGTGTCTCACACAGCTACAGTTCTGTTAGCATGCACACAACATAGTCTCTGCTCTGAACACTTTGGAAGGATGGTCAGTGCCAGCCTCTGTCACAAAAACGACGACCCATTGTCTTGTACTCGTTCCCCCCACCCCCTAAGTACTGACATGCCATTCGTAAATAACTGCGAGCGTCAGCCTGCTTTCCTGCTGACATGTCAGCAACATGCCATGTGTCTCCAATGTTTCCGGGAAGCTGTCATATAAGTATGTATCTCTCCTGTGTGGACTATCCCCGTGGCCATCACCTTCGACATCCTCTCCTAGCATGTCCCACATGCACCTGCTGCAACTTCAGTCGGATCTTCTTCATCCTGGACAGGAGAACAACTGATGCAGCAGCCTGAGGAGAAAAATAGACTACCATATGAACCTCCTACAGAGCGCTGTACTGATAGGTTATCACCTCCAGGGCAAGCTGTTGCAGACCAAATCCTACAACAGCTGAACACCCTTGCTTTGGATAAGTTCCGTCGCCGTCCGTCCATAGACAGGAAATAATGGCTGTATAAACTGAAGAACCTGCTCAATGCCGCTCTGTGATGGCCCACCTGAGATTCGGCTAGCATGTGATTCACATGCCTTGTGTCGTGAGGATTATAAAGGCATAGTCCATGCAAATTTTTGTTTTTGGGCGTGAAGAAGCAGTCAACATTGCACTCATGTATGGCACCCTGACATGCCGTGTCCAATTTGTAGACTGGGGCTGGAATGGCAATGCGTATACAATTGTGGTCGGTGTGCCTCGTTGTTCCTAGCATGTAGGAGCCATGTAGTTGGTGACATCTGTCTATGTCGTGCCATCCCCTGCAGCAACTTCAACTGTGAGAATTGAATGTGGTGCTTACACAGTCGACACCTGAACTGCTCCTGTCAGGTCTGTAGGGGTGGCCACTTGCCATAGGCAATGGCTGCTCAACTCAAAGTTTCCTGCAACCCGAACACTGATTGATGTCGTCGTAGAGGAGTCTGCTCGAGCGGTGAGTATTTCGAACCCTTTGAAGTTTGTCGTTCCTCTTCTGTTTTGCCACTCCACTTCCCTCCTCCACCTCTCTTTCTCCGGCCTCTAGCGTCCTGTAAACTCCACCTCCTACGCCCGCCTTCCTCCCTCCCCTTGTGTACGACTAAAAGGCATACGAATGAGCATCATTAAACCACCAGTACTTAGCCCAGCTATCGCCCGCTGGAAAAATAGAGTAGAAACTTTTCTTGTCAGATGAACTTGGGCACTCCTGTAGTGGCCCGTACGTTTCCTAAAATCGTGGCTTGTTAACGGGCACGGCCTTGGGAAGCACTGGTGGTTTAAGAGAACAGATATCTGAAGATCTGAAGATAAATGTACAGGAGTATACCCCCCTTTTACTCTACCTCCTATCATATTGTTATGATCTTGGTTGTCTGACGATTTTTACCGCCACTCACACAGACAATTTAATACACGCCCATACATGCATAAGAGAAGGGGGAGAGGAGACAGAGTCCACACTGCACACAGATCGGAGTAGGCAGTGGAATACAGCTATGCACAGATGGGGAGAAGACACAGAGTGTTTCTCTCTCTCTGACAACCTCCCAACAACCAATCACAAGTAGAACTTGCGAGG